CTGTCCTTCTTGAGTCCTTTCTTTACTTGACTGTAAAGTATTATTTTAAAAGGGAAGAGTAAATTCCAAATGTAATTCTATAATTCTATAAGAAATTCTTTATTGTGAGTGGTGAGACACTGGAGCATGTTACCCAGAGAAGTTGTGGATGCCTCATGCTTGGAAGTGTTCAAGGCTGGATGGGGCTTTGAGCAACCTGGACTAGTGGGAGGTGTCCCTGCCCGTGGCAGGGGAGTTGGAACTAGATGATATTTAAGATCCCTTCCAACCCAAAACATTCTATGATTCTATGAAATCAGCTTTTGCAGCAGTATGCCAACAAGTGTAGTTGTACAGCTGCACTGTGACTGTGGATTTCAGACTGTAGTTACATTTTATCTCACGTTTTGGGGATCTGTTCATGTTAGAGCTAGGCCATAATTGCTACTTGGAGCCTGTTTTGCCAGCCAGGTATCTAAATGCTGTCTCCTGCATCAAACCCCCTGAAGTTCAGTGAGGACGTAATTCTAAAAGTCCCATTTTACACTGTGCATTGTACACGTACTGACACAGTGAATAGGGAAAAAAATTTGCATTGCGGATCTTCACAGCAGGGCTATACAAATCCCGCCAGTGTGCTAATCATTTAGATTAGCTGTCCGGTGGGCTTCTTGTACAGTTTCAAGAAAAAGTATGTGAACCTTTTGGAATTTCATGGTATTCTGCATTAATTTGTCATAAAATGTGATCTAACTGTCATCTAAGTCAAGAGTATTGACAAATATAGTGTGCCTGAAATAATAACACAAAACCAATTTGGATCCTCCATGTCTTTATCGAACACACTCATTAAACATTCAGAATGCTAGTGGTAAAAGTAAGTGAACCCTTGAGTTGACCTCAGAAAAGCTAATTGGAGTCAGGTGTTAGCATACCCAGAGTCTTGTTAAGAAAATGAGTTTGTAGGCATGGACTAGAGCTACCTTGACTAATAAAAACCACTCAGACTTTTAGAGTTTGCTCCACACAAGATGTATGCTTACGTGAGCCATGCCTTGCCAAAAAGAGCTTTCAGAGGATCTACAATCAAGAATTGTTGATTTACATAAAGCTGGAAAGGGTTGCAAAATGATTTCAAAGACCTTGGAAATTCACTGGTCTACAGTTAGGCAAATGATCTACGAATGGAGACGCTCTGGGACTGTAGCTACTCTACCAAGAAGTGGGCGCCCAGTGAAAGTGACCTCAAGACCACAATGAAGACTCATAAGTGAGGTAAAGAAACAACCTCGAGTGACAGCCAAAGAGTTGAAGGCATCATTGGAACTGGCTAACATCTGTGTTCATGAGTCTACGGTACGTAAAACATTGAAGAAGCAGGGTGTCTGTGGCAGCACATCATGAAGGAAGTTGCTCCTTACTTCAAAGAACATTGCTACATGCCTGAAATTTGCGAAAGAACACATTGACACTCCACAGTGGTGCTGGCAAAATGCTTTGTTGACTGCTGAAACAAAGATTGAACTATTTGGAAAGAACACACAGCACTACATCTGGTGTAAAAAGGGCATATCGTCGTGAAAACATCATCCCAGCCATAATCTGTGGTGGAAGAAACATCATGATTTGGGCCTGCTTTGCTGCATCAGGACCTGTCCAGCTTGCAGTCATTGAGGGGAAGATGAATTCCCAATGTATAAAAAAATTCTTTAGGATAATGTGAGAATGTCTGCACATCAGCTGAAACTCTGTAGACGTTGGGTCATGTAACAGGGCAATGACCCAAAACACCAGAGCACATCCACAACAGAATGGCTTCAGAAAAACAAAATTCTCCTTTTGGAGTGGCCAAGTCAGAGCCCAGACCTCAACCCAATAAAGATGCTGTGGAATGTCTTGAAGAGAGCCATACACATGAGACGTCCAAAGAATATGACAGAGCTAAAGCAGTTCTGGCAGGAAGAATGGGCTAAAATCCCTCCTGAAGGAGCAGCTCTGATCCACAGCTACAAGAAGCACTTGGTTGAGGTTATTGCTGCCAAGGGGGTGGTCAACCAGTTATTGATTCCAAGGGTTCACTTACTTTCACCACTAACATTTCGAATGTTGAATGAATGTGTTCAGTAAAGACATGGAGGATCAGAATTGGTTTTGTGTTATTTGTCAATATTATATTATATTATATTTGTCAATACTCTTTGACTTAGATGACAGATTACATTTTATGACAAATTATGCAGAATACCATGAAATTGCAAAAAATTTGCATACTTTTTCTTGAAACTATATTTGCATATATGAGACAGGAAACATAAGGGCAGTTTTGAAGTGGAGGAAATGGATCTTCACTTATAACTGATGATAGTGCTATCTGGGTGACCAATTATCTGGATAAATGTTCCTGCCTTCAACAGTATTCTAAAAAAGACACAGATACCATACTGTAATGCATATCTTTATAGTGCTTTTTATATTTAAATATACTTGATGGCATAGGTATTCAGAGTGTACTATATAACGTACTTTTTTTCACTTGCTGTCTGTAGTAACTGGAATCAGGACTGGAAGTAGTATCCTTCTTGACAGCATGAATGTGATCCAAAATCTCGTATAGTAATAGTTCTTGATAAAAGCAGTGACTAGATGAGACAAAAGTATTCTATATCTTGATCTTATAAGCGCAAAAATCTACTTTTTATGGTTCACTATAAGATACAGGTCTTCAGGATCTGTACAAGACTAATACATTTTGTTGAAGTACACAGTCTGTAGAGTCTGATTTGAAAATTTCACTAAAGGCTTTTCTTTGTCAGAGCAAAACTTAGAAGCTTGTGCATTAATTAAAAGCTCTTTTTCCCAGATTATCAGTTCAGTAACTATAGCAGTGAGTGTTTTTTGCTTCTTTTTTTCTTGTATTTGAGATGATATGCAAAGACCTGATTTTGTTATGTGTACTTAACTGTTGGAGAAAAAACAGTGTTCGGAGGTAGAGCTTCCTCTAGATAGTCATAATTTTAAATGTGGTAGGAATTTTAAATGTTTTAAATAATTTTAAACGTGGAGCACTGGCTTTTTGCAATTTACTGACTCTTCTAGCCTGAGACCCCAGTTCTTTAGACAACTGTCATCTGTTCTTGTATGCGTGTCACAGAATGATTCCCTAAAAGCTTTCTATTGATATAAATTGCCTGGGTCATCCCGCTTGCTGACAGCATATGAAGTCCTCCTGGTGTACTGAATAATGATTTAGCAGCTGGATGGAAGACCTGTTTCTCATCTTCTGTCCCTGGTCCTGAGAAAAAGACATTCCTAGTTGCCATAGGTAGAATGTGTAGCTTCTCCTCCCTGTTCTCATTTTAAAAACTATGGGTCTTTTTTACATCTGTGCGTTCTGTGGAGTGCTGCTGTAGATTCTGATGTTTAGTAATGACCCTGAAGATGGCTGCTCAGGTCTTGTGCACAGAATGAGGGATGCGGCCGGCTGGTTCTCACACTGTGCTTCTATTTGTCTGAGCCATGGGTGTTTGCAACGTAACCTCTCTCAACCAGCTCACTTCTCCAAGATTTGAGCTGCAGTTGGTTGTGTACCCATGCGATCTGCTGGATAGTCTTGTCTGACAGAGGACCTAGGAAAGCAGAAAAGTCAAAGCTCTGTGCTGTAGCAGAGAGTGTGCCAGCCAGCAGAGCTCTTCTCACGTTTGACTCTGAGTGTACGCACGGTGTGATGCAAAGCGTAAGGACAGCACAGAATTGAAGTCCAGTAACTGTGTTTACAAAAACCCAGATTGTTTTGCGATTGACAGAATATGAACAAGCATTAGCATGATTTATTTGGAAGGCATTTGACTTGAGGATTGATTTCTCTTAAACCATCACTAATAGCTGCTATTATAGCAACAAATGAGTGCAAAGGACTCCAAGTGCTTTTTTAAAGGAAAAAAAACTTAATGAAGATTGTATGTGGCCATGTGTGCAGCTGGCTTTATGGACGAGTGCATAGACTAGATCTACAGAAAATCTAGTTTTCTAGATTCCAGCTGGTGAATGACTCCAGCTTTTCCAACGTGGATCTAGCAGAACTTCGTCTTGGCACCATAACCTTTTCCTTACAGACGACCCCTGTCATTCACTGTCAGTAGCACTATGATGCCTTGGGAAGGAAAAGCTTGTCTCAGCTCTACACAAACTGTTTTGGGTTTTTTTTTCTTTTTTTCCCCTCCCTGTCTCATATTTGGTGCTTATTTGAGTTGTTTCTCAGAGAAGGACTCAGTACAAAATGTAGAATATACAAGTTACCCTGTGCAGTATATCTGAAAACAGGCAAATTTATGGGGAGGACTTTGCATCTGGTTTAAAATAGAAAAAGTGTTTTTCTGTTTAGGTTTTAAGTAAAGAAGCATTAGTTTTGGAGATTTTGTCTTGTTTCATGATAACAGGGTAAAAAAGGATAGTTTCCTCTTGTCATCTCTAAGACTTCGATGTGTTTTTCTCTGATCAGTTGAGCAAAGTCCGTAAGTATTCAAGCCAAATTTTTCCTCAAGAAGAAAGTAAGTTTATTTTGTGTTTTATAAGAGGTACCAAAAGTGATGCTGCTTTAAATATTGAAATGGCCTGAAAGTGTAAATATTTACATGAACAACTTGAAATCTAGAAACCTAAATGATGTAGTCAGCATGAGGTTTCCTTCTCCTGCTGTGGTGAGACACCAGGGAAGAGGGAGAGCCGTTTGGTCTCTACACTCCTCTAATCCTCTGTTGAAAGTGAGATCATGACTTTTTTTTCTGTTGGGAAATAGACTGAGACCACAGGCTCATTCCATTTCTTATAAATCACTAATTTATTATATAGTAACAACTTTTGGTCTCTCTAATGAGAATTTGCTTTTGGGCAATGTCTGAGCACTGCAAAATATCATATCCCCTTACTAATATTTTGTTTTCCCCTTAATTTGATGCAAATTTCATGTAGAAAAGTGCAATTAGCAGCAAACATGTTTTCTTTTCTTTTTCAACTTCCTGTAGGAGTTCTTCATATTTTCTGCAGAGTTGGGAGAAAAATGTGAAGCAATAAGTGAAAAATTGGTGCATCTGGAAGATCAACTGCAAACTTCTTCCTGCAGAGTTGATGAAGGAGTTATTCATATCCTTTTTTATATATAGATACATATCAATCTGTGTAAGTACATACGTGAAATACTTGCCTTTCAGATTGACATGGAATACTAGTTTTCAGTGTAAATTAAATACATTAAGAAGGGGAGTATTGTCTTGCTGAAGTGGGCACTTTTGCTGTAGCAAGTTTCCATTGTGATCTAATACAGCATTAATTGATTTAAATAGAAGTTATTATATTGTAAACTTTTGTTTGTAATGCTCATGTGAGTAAATACCTAGAACAGCAAAAGCTGCGTGGATGCAAGCATCTATGCCTCTGCATTTCCAGTCGTGATTTAGGTAATTTAAATGCTACTTCATTGACTCAGACTGTGCATATTGTCACATGTAGTTTAAGGGGTTTTTTCCTTTTTAAAAAAATGGGCAATGGATGCATCATGTGGCAGCCTATGTAATTTAATCTGCCTTTAACACTCCAGAGCAAGTAACCAGATGAGACAATGTCCTATAAAGCACCCTTATCTCTTTCTGTGCTTCATCTGTCATTCAGTATCTGGTTGCTTAATCTTTATGAGGCATTTGTATGGGCCATCTATGGAACATTTTTCAAAATTTGAAAGCAGAGAGTATTGTTTCATTTGTAACTTTCATAGAAAAACTATCATAAAAGATATTTTGTTCTTCTAAGAATGGAAAAAGAGAAAAAAAATCACTGAGGCTAAGGAAGATAGACAACTTAGCTTGGTTAGGTTTTAATGAAGAAGAGGTGGCAGGCAACAGAGTAATCATAGAATGGCCTAAGCTGGAAGGGACCTTAGAGATCATTTTAATCCAGCCTCCCTGCCGCCAGGGACGCCACCTCTCGACTAGATCAGGCAACACATGGGGACCAGACGGGAATCGAACCCGTGACCTTAGCGGTGTGAAGAAAGATGAATAAATTCAGGTTGGAGGTATTAGCAGAGGAGCCCTTACAGACACTTGAATGTGAGCTGAGATGATGATGGTCCTGGGAAGGATTCAGTTCCTCCTCAACTGAGGCAGGCAGTCCTGCAGGTAAGAGTTTAGAGACAGGATAGTAAATGGACTGTGTGGAAATACCACTTCATGTTAAGTAATTGGACATCTATTGCCAGCTCATTGCAAAATTCCTGTTTGAGGAACTTGAGTTCTTTGAAGCTATCAAAATGATAAACTTGAAGGAGGTTTGGGAGGGAAGGTGCAGGGAGGGGGTTGCATCAGAGGGGAAAAATGGAGTCACTAATTTGTTACTAGTTCAAATCTTTGTTTTCTAGGCTTTTCAATGTACAGAAAGATTTTTTTATTATTTGTTATGGGACATTTTGCAATATTCTTGTACTTATATAAACAGCATTCATGCTTGGTTCATTTTTGTTTCCCTAATGCTGTTTATGAGCACTCTTTTCAGAGCCCTGTGATGTGTGTGTGCAGAGCGTCCAATTCATTCCTCCCTTACATAAATTTTCTTTTTTCATTGACCCTAATAGAAGAACATTGAGGGTTGGAGTTATGGGTTCTTTGCAGTGGACTTAAGTTCATATTCAAACCAAACAGTCCAGCGTGATCATAATTACAGTTTGCTAGGTAAGGTGAAACAGCTGAAAAACTGCTTTTTTGATTCCCGAAGAAAAGATACTGTGAGTATGTAAAACAGTAGTGTTTATATTTTCTGTGGAACTTGCTTATTTCTTTGTAGCTGTTGAAACTGCGAGTTAGTTGAAAAAAAATATAAAATTTAATCACTGAAACTTTGAGAAGAGGTGTAGATTAGTCTCATTCTAAGCCACGGTTGTCTGATACAGATCTGATTTTCTCTATCAGTGAAATTCAGCTCACGTTATCTAAATACAGAAATGCACGCTGTGTGATATCCTGGCCCTAGCAAGACCATCAGTCACAAAATAAGAAACCATGTTTAAAACATAGGGACGTACAGAGAAGCAGTTCAGCAATTCAGCTACCCCTCATTAACATTCAGTTGCTATTTCAGAGGTAGTCCGTATCAATGTGCATAAAATGGTACCATCTGGTACATGTAATTACTGTGCTATACTTCAAAAAGGCATGAGGAAAATCGCTGCCACAGTGCTACAGGCCTGTAGGTTGGGGGCTTCTTTAAAATAAAAACTGCTCAGTGCCTACGAAATAAACTTTCAGTCATTGGTGACTTGCCTGTATTGCAGGAACTAGCACTGAGATTGGTGCCTCAGTAGATGATTTTGTGATTAGTAGATGGATCTATTTTTTTTGCACAGTAGCTTATTTGGTTTTAAATAAAACAATTTCTTATCCCAAATATTGGACAATTATGCAGCCTTATTAAAACTCTGTAGGATGCTGAGAGCAGGAGCTTAAAGATTTGGAACTGTAATGAAAACAGGATAGATTTTTCAAACTCCTCTTCTCTGGTTATTTTCACCCCCCCCCCCCAAACTGTATTACATACGAGTGTGTTACAAACTGTATTAGGTCAAAAATCTAACTGGGGGCGGCACAGATGTAAATCAGTCCTGTTGTCTGATTATTAAAAGACTTTTAAAGACTCCACTGAGAAAAATAACTTCCTGATGCTCTCGAGCCATTTGCCAATGTTTGGTGTCTGTCTTAACTTTGATTAATAATTGAGTTTGTATTAGAAGAAAAATCCCAGATGTCACTGTTTTTCATTTTGCATTTTGATGGCATAGCGCACTTAAATCAACCATGCTGCTCGTCGTAATTGCCAGCACAACCTGAACAAAGGACAAATCCAGTGATATTTCTTGGCCCTGAGTATAGTCACAGACCCACTTGAGATTCTCATTTATTATCGAAGTCTTTCACAGCAAATATTAAACTGTACTTTTGCATAAATAGCATTAAACAGAGGCGGAGGGGAGAAGAGCTCCTCTGTAGCACTATGACATATTTGCTAAATTTTGTGTAGCATAACCAAATAAACCCGCAGAACATTCAATTATGGTTAATTGTTGGCAAGTGTGTGAAAACAGTCCACGTCATTAATTGGAAAAACCAAAGCATGAGAGGTAACTCATTCCAGTGTCTACAGAGCTGATGAGAGGTGTTACTTTCCTGTCAGTAAAGGCCTGGAATTCCCAATAAAATTAAATAGAGCCTATATTGCAATTTCACAGTCATTTTTGTTCTTAATTAGCAGTCACATTTTGATGGACAATTTGAATGCATTTAGTAATTCCTCCTGGTGAAAATGCTTTTGTTGGAAGAAAACCTGGCTGGACTATTCTAATAAAAGCAACCTCTATTCCTTGCCCTAAAATTGACATTTGAAACTGATATTCTGAAATAGAATTTTGTGCCTAAACATTATCCAGGCCTTGCAGGTCACTTTGCTAACCCTTCACCTTTACCATATGGCAAGCTCTATGCTGCTTTACACCAGCATAGGTTTTCAGCAGAACCAGGAGTGTAGAGTTTAGCCCTGACTGGACTTCACTGAGGACTCTCACTCTGAGTGAACCTGTAAGGAATTTGAAAATCCCACAAGAGTGAGAGGTGGCAATAGTGGTGTATTTGATTTTACTTTGGATGATGGAAGTGTGATCCCTTCCCAAGTGTGCATCACATTGAGAAAATGTGTTCTACTTAAATTGTTCCTGCTGTGATGCAGGTAGGTCAATGTATTTCCACCCATGTGCTGCAACTTCTTTGCCTTCCCTGTTCTGCTGGAGCAAGTGATTTGGAGACAGCTCATACCCAGACCACTGAAGTGATCCATTTTTTCAAAACGTTGAAGTCATTCTGTTGGGGTTTTTTTGCTTAGTAGGCTTTTTGGGGGAATATTCTGGTTTTTACATGGGATGGGCATTAGTTTGTAGAAACACATGCATGGATGTGAGGGAGGGAGACACTAATGGAGGCTAGAAAATGGGAAATTTCTAATCTAGTTTCAGTACCACAGGCACCCCTGTATTTTGTAAAGACATCTGATGAACTTCCAAAGGTTGTTTTCTCTCTCACTTTGAGATTGCACAGATCGCATATAGGAGCAGTAGGGACCTTTTTGGTGTCTTTCTTTTGCTCCCAAGACTGGAGTTCTAAAAGGCCAAACCCCAGGTCATTCCAGGTAAACATTGAATTGTCTTGCCTCTTTGCTGGTACTTCAGCACATAACAAACATACTCCCAGAATTGTTTAGTTGACCTCTTGAGAACATCTGGTCCAACCCCTTGCTTAAGCAGGTTCACCTAGAGCAGGTTGCCCAGGATCATGTCCAGGCAGGTTTTAAATATCTCCAAGGATGGAGACTTGACAACCTCTCCATGCAACATGTTCCATTGTTTAACCACCCTCACATTAAAAAAAAACCCAACCAAACAAGCATTTTCTTATATTCAAATTCAGTTCCCTATTTTGCAATTTTTCTGTTGCTTCTTCTTCTGTCAGTGGACATGAGTGAGAAGAGTCTGGCTCCCTCTTCTTCATTCCCACGCTTCAGCTGTTTATACACATTGGTAAGATCTCAGCTCTCTGAGCATCTTCTCATATGATGGATATTCCAGTACATTAAACCAGCCCTGTGCTGGACTTGCCTCAGTAAGTCCCTATCATTCTTGTACTGTGGAGCCCAGAAGTGGCCCCTGCCCTCCAGATGGGACTTCACCATTGCTGAGGAGAGTGGAAGGATCAACTCTCTCCACCTGCTGGCAATGCTTTTCTCAATCCAGCCCAGGAGGCTGTTGGCCACCTTTGCCACAAGACAGATTGCTGGCCCGTGTTCAGCTTGCTGTCCTCCATGGCCTCAAGGTCCTTTTCTGCAGAGCTACTTTCCAGCTGGCTGGCCTTCCCCTGTGGGGCCTTAGGATAGGAGACACAACGTGCAGTTATGTGGTGGGACATCTTGCTGAGCTGCTGTCTCCAGCTACTGTAATGTTCAGCTGTGAGAAATAAGCAGGATACTTAACCAGGTGAAACAGAAATAATCAGAAAGTGTTTTGAAGATTTAATTTCCTTTTTTTCCACTTTTTGATGTCCAGAATTGCTATTATCCTTCAAAATCCTATAGTCTCAAACCTCAGCTTTGTGGTAGTTCTTCACTGTACCTTCCAAGGCCTTTTGCTCTTAGATTCTGACCTTTCCTATAGGATAGTCGCTGGTTTGTAGTGTCTACCTTTTGTCTCTTTCCCCTAAACATCTGTACTGGAAGAACTCAAGATACATTGATGAGCCATTTATTTTTTCCAGAAAGTAAGTCTACAGTAATTAGAACTGCTTTTTCTGTCCTTGGAAATCACAGACTATGGTGACACTCACGTTTTCTGAGAAGTCAAACAGGTGAAAAGCTTTAACGAGGACAGCATTAGAGCTGCAGCATTGTTGCAGGATATGCATTGCGACTGTGTGAAACTGTTCCCAAGTGTTTTACTGCTTAGGAGACTTTGGAGAGGTTTTGCCAGTTTTTCACGGGAAGACAGCAGGACCAGAAAATGTTCCTGCTTTAAACCTGTTTTGGCTGCTGCCTTTGATGCTGGCTCAATATTTGCAGCACTGGATAGAAAATTTACGTGTGAATGACGCATTTGCTTGTGGACCCATGCAAAACTAAGAATTTTTCATTTTTAAAATGGGTGATGCTGTTTTTCCAGACACAGCCTCTGTATACGGACATGGATTTTATGCTCAGCCACGTATGCCACATATTTTGCCTAGCCATAAATGCTTGTTTGGCAGTTACTAGTCTACAGCTGGATGTGGTATCTTTCTTGTTGCTCCATCTTTCTGTTGGAAAGTTTATTTCCCTGTCTTCTTATTTTTCCTCCATCCTTCAGGATTTCTCATCCAGTGGCAGGGAAATATTTCAATTTTACTTTTTCCTCTCTACCTGAAAAGAGTTTTGTAATTGCTTGGGATATTATAAATAACAGCATGTAATCAGAGACTGTGCATCAGAAGTAATTAAATTTCAGAAGCTTCATGGTGTTCATAAACTGAAGAATTTCTGTTTTACCAGGTAGGCTTTCAGCAGAGCCTCACAATTAAGTTGCAGAGGGGTGGACAATTCAGGACTGCATATAAGAGGATAATAATGTTTCTTACTTCAGAGAAGATGCAAAGCATAATTAATTTCGCCTTGTACAGTGCTTGGAGATTGTGGGATAGAAGGGGTTTTATGTGTACTGCTATTACTTGTAATCAGAGACAGAATCTCTTTAGATTAATAGAGCTGCCCAGAAATTAGAAGTATGCATGAATACTCGTGGTGAACATATTAAAAGTAACACATGGTAGTAAATGTGTGTAAATACATAAAGATGAAATTTTGAAGAACCAATAACAGAAGCTAAAGCAGCTGAAAGGCTTTTTCAAAGACATAACTGTGACTGTTTGAAATAGCAGTAATTTGTAAGCTTTCCTATGGTCCTCTCTAGTCTCAATTTTTCAAAACTAGCAGCTCAGTTTTTACAACCACATAACCTGAGGGTGTCTTTTTTCCCCTTGACATTGCATTGACATCTGGGTCGAATAAAACAACATTTCATAATGGATGAGCTCTGTAAGGGATAAAGCCTGTCCTTGTGCATTATCCTTCCTGTGCGTTGCATTTTTGAAATTGAGTTGTTTCAGTGTCAGCCTGTTTAATATCCCTTGAAGGGAGTTTCTGGCTCTCTCTGACATAATTTGAAGACTTATTGCTAGAAATTAACTTAGTTCTCTCTCTCTTGACCCTCTTCGGTTAGCCTTTTGGGGTCCTTGCCCTTCAGTCATACCAGTACAGGAGGCCCTAGGGCTTGTTCACATAGATGTGGTCATTGGTTTAGAGCTTCAGCAGGCTCTGACTTGTCTCATGCTTGCTTTGCTTTCCACAGAGTGCAAGCTAAGGAAGGGGAGATAGATAAGGTTGGTTGCCTCATTGAGCTACACCCAGTCCTTGCACTGAATTCAACAACGGGTAGTCACACTGACATAGGATTATCAGCAGAGGGGCTCCTGTCTTGATAGTTCAAACCGTCATTCCCTGGAGAGACCAATCATCAGAACGAAAAGCTGTGCTGCCTAGGAAGCTTGGCCACTTAAATCTTGTGCATGTCTCAGCAGCTGCCTCTATCACTGTGCATGTCCTACCTTCAGCTGCCAGTCTGTCCGCTGCTGCACACCTTGTATTCCCGTTGCCACCACCTGACGCCTTCCCTCTGCCACCATGGAGCTGGGGAAAGAGGGAAGTGGAAGGTCTTTTAAGAGTCTGAGCCATTAGCTGTCATTTGCTTCCCGAGTGCCTTGCAGGAAACCTGAATTAGGCAATGGCAAACAAAGAGCAGAAAAACTCTCCTTTCGTAACCAAATGAAGTATTTTTATTGAGTTATCAGATGCTTTTCAGGTGGCCTTTTTCCTTTCAGTGAAAGGCAGCATAATCTTGCTACTGCTAATCTTTTTGCTTTTCAACTTGTTCAAAGCATTTACTGTGGAGCCTCATGGAGTTTTATATTTGTGTTTTCTGTGCTATAATTATACTGATAATTCAGCTAAGATTAAAGCCTTCTGGAAGTAAGTAGAGCAGAAACACTTTCTCTTCTATAAGCTAGTTTTGTTACTTAACTAGATTCCCATCCCGCCTGGCGTAGCGCACATTGCTGAGCTCACTAATGCCACACAAGCTGTGGTCACTTGGCTTGTGTCTCAGTCTGCTCCTGCATCCCTCTCGCCTTCACCTGGGGTCCCATCCACCCTGGTCTGTGTCTCTAGCTTAAAAATTCACCTTCTATCCCTTAGGGAACTGGCAGCTAATGCTGCTGCCTTCATGGTAGAATTCATTCCTCCCTTTCCTTCCCTCCCCTGAGAACAGTATCCCCCCCATCTCCTCCCTCTTTTAAAGTGCTAAATAATGCTACTTGAGAACTTCAGTTTGCCTGGTTTTTCTTTTGAAAGTGAGTGTGAGGAATGTATTAATATTTAATCCAAACAATTTGGAAGAACTTAAAGCTACAATTAGATAGCCATGGCCATCTGTTGTGAGCAGCAGAACAAGAATTTATTTAATAGCTTGGAAGCAGAAAAGGGACTGCCAATCACCTATAGATGTATGCCTTAATAAAGCTCGCACAGTCTCTGCAGAGGGAGATCCAGGTGGTGAAGGAGACGCTCCAGACCATGGTGGTGCAACTTCAGCCAGCCAGGGAGGCAGCAGAAGAAAAGGCTGGAGTCTTCCTCTGTGACAGCTGGTGTCCAGGAAAACAAGACTTGAGGGAATAATGAGCAGAAAGAGCTGGTAGGATGACATGAATTTGCAAAGGGCTGCTCTTAGTAACTGAATACTGTTTTACCAAGCCTCAGGGATCTCTTCTCTCCCTGCATAACTAATAACTAAATCAATTATGGAGAAACAGAGCCTGGAGGTCTATCATCAGAAGTATTCTACACAGGCTCACACATTTTGGCACAGATTGGGAAACAGCTTTCAGAGCAAAGCAGCCCCTGTAAATGTGTAGATTACAAATTGATACATTTCAAGTGAATCTGCAAAGTTGCCTTTAATGTCAGTGAAATGTTCTCCTTGAAGACTTGTAAACAGTATCTGTCTTCCTTACTCATGGATTTTTTCCCTTCAGTTTAAAAATGTAGTGTCAAAGCTGGAACAGCTAGTATTTCTTGAAAAATGGCTGTAAGAATAATAAGAAGTTTTTTTTCTCTTTGGCTTTGACAGCTTTCTTACACTGAATGTATTTGCACATTCCTGCCAATAATTAAATCAATAGGATGAAATTCAAGCTAACTGAGCTCTTTCAACTGAAATTTGGGCCTCGTTTACTCTGTGGTATTGAGTCCAGTGGAGGTAACTAACAACAGCCCCTATAGCAGTAGTTAAACTCACTTCATTTAGATACTGTAAAAAATTGCTTTGGTATTACAGGGGTTGTAATGCACAAAAAAATTACTATGTTGGTGATTTGCTTTCCTAATGTTTAAGATATTCTATGAACAATAAGTCATTTAAGTCTTCTTGTGAAGTTTATTACAACTATTATATTACTTTGATCTTTCTTATAAACTTCAGAAAGACCTGCAGATTTTTTTTTGCAATAGACATGTATAAAAGCAATACTCAGCTGAAGCCAATATAAATGACCTATATTTAGACCATTGTTCAAAACAGTTAATGTCTTTTGGATACTAATACATCTCTGATGGCACAAAAAAAAAATTAAAAAATCTCTCATGTGTTGCAGAGGGAAAATTTAAAAAAAAAAAAACGCCCAAACTGTGGGGGTTTTAAGCCAACTGGTGAAGACAATGTATTGCAACTCAGTACTGAACTTTTTTATGCTGTTTTTCTGACATATTTAGAATTACTTTTTTCTCCTGCTACTTTAATTACTCATTTTATAACCACATTAGGAAGGTTTTAGCAAATTTTGAAGGTCGTTGGACTACTAGCCCACTAAGATTGCATTCATTTTCTTTGTGTGTTTTTAATACTAGTTGAAACTTTAACTTCTACCTCAACATTAAGTACATAAGGAGAGAGGAAAAACAAAAATGTGCTAGGCAGCTGAGACATAGAACAAGAATATAATTACATCCAGGAGTATATGGTTGTCAAACCAGAGGAGCAGAGCCCAGGTGGTTTCTGTAATCATCAGACCTTCAGGGTGGAATTACAACCCTGTAATTCAGAACACGGTTGACTTTTCTCATTGTGCAATACATGGGCCAGCATCCGTGTTGTGGTAAAGGCTCCTGGATCTTCACCTTGCGTGGACTCGCTGCTCAGTTCCCAAACCCAGTCTCAAATGGAGATAACTTGTTGCTCTGCTGCTACTCTGTTTGACAAGTTGCTTTCTCCAAGCTCTTCTGGACAGTCCCTGTTCACTATCTACCTCCCCATAGAAGATTTGGCACTTTCTGAAACTCCCCTGGACAGATGAGCTAAGTATTTGTCTCAAGCTCATGGCAGCCTGACAAGCACACATGGCAAGCACAGGTCACCAGCCTGCAGCACCCTCACATTCAGCCTGTGCACAGGACCAGCTTCCCTGGGAAAAAACTTGTCTAGGCACACATAGCCTGACTGCCAGAAAACCCATGTGAGTTCAGGTAAACAGAAGAGAAAGCACACTGACAAGATAGATCTCTTACAGCTGTTTCCTTAAGACCTGTAGAAGCTCCTTGTGGGTTAACACCACAGAGGGCTGAGTTTCCAGCAATCAGCATTTATGTAGAACAATGGGAATACTCCCAAAGATGATGGCCAGTACACTTAAGGTTGCATGACCCTCCCCCTCTCCTCCCTGACAATGAGTGGGGCCTGGAGTTTTCTTTTTTGAAGCTGTAGTGCCTGCAATGTAAGTAGTTGGTGGGCCCAGCAAGTGCCTTAGAGCCTGGCTCAGCCACAGCTGAAGTGTGAAGTCTGCCTCCTTGCAGCAGCAAGGGCTCAGCAACAGGGATAGTAACCTACCATCACAGAGGCAGGAGAACAGCACCCTCATTCTCACTAGTAAGGTCTCCTGAAGACATTCCCATGTGTGGCTTTTGTGTTTCACAGCTTCAGAGCATCACTGCATTTTAATAAAAACTGAACTTAAGCAACCACTCTAATAGGACACTGATCTCCTGAGGAGAAGGGAAACAATCAGTCATCATTCATGTCATATTTGTATCTGTTAACATTTGTTTTATATACGGTGTGGACTACTGCTTCTTTAATTTATTATTCCACTAACTTCACTGTTTGTTGTGGGAAGTTAGAGCCAGTAATCGTTCCTTTTCTCAGATGTGCTGAAAAATACGCATACTAAAAGAAAACTCTCAAAACTATGCAATGTATGAGCTGCCTTTTATCTATGGATAAAAAAACTTTCAAATAAAGAGAGGTATGTTTTTAACTAGCACAGTGTCTGTTTGCATTCTATGCCATGTACAAGATTCTATAAATTTCATCCTGGTGGAGGGGGGTGGATGGGAAGGGGAGGAGAGGAAAGGAGAAACCATGTGTGTGACTGTTACTATTCTGTCAACAGCAGTGATTCCTCTGCTTGTGAAATTCTATAATGCCTTCTGGGAACAGTCTAAAGACACATTCAAGGCTAGAGTCTCACAGCAAAATGTAGCTATATTCAGTATGAAATGGTGCAAAAGATCACGGAGTGTACTACACAGACTAGTACAACATGCATGCATGTCCTGGCTTGACTCAAACAGTCTTGGTGTGCAACTGAGTCCTTTGTGCCTGTCCTCTCTCTGTTCCTCATCCTTGAAGAAGCATGGAGGGAAGGAAAGCATGATTCTGCACTGGCAATATCTGAGGTCAAAGTCATGTTTTCACCCTCATTGCCCTGCTGAGAGAGTGCCTGTGGGGTACCACTTTCACACACACATGCTACGACTGTCACCTCTACCACCTGCAAACTCACCCAAAATAATCCCTTTTCCTGCCTGGAATGTGCACTCTTCCTGTTTAAAACCCCAGCCCTCAAAGGTTTGAAGAGAGGCAAAGAGGCTCTGTGTGTAGAAACCTGTGGCTCAACAATGGAATTGTAGACTCATTTAGATTGGAAAACACTCTTAAATTCATCATATCCAACTGTTAACCTGACACTGCCACATCTACCACTAAACCATGTCCCTAAACATGACATCTACACATCTTTATCTCCAGGGATGGTGACTCCACCCGTTCCCTGGACAGTCTGTTTCAAAGCCTGACGATCCTTTCTGTGAAAAAATTTTGCCTAATATCCAATCTAAACCCTCTTCTGGCGCAACTTGAGGCCATTTCCACTTCTCCCAAGTAACAAGCAATAGTACAAGAGACCAACCCTCACCTCACTAGACCTTCCTTTCAGGTAGTTGTAGAGACGGATAAGGTCTCAGCCTCCTTTTCTCCAGGCTGAACAACCCCAGTTCCCTCCCCATAAGACGAGGAAGCATCTCACCTTGAGCAGTTCATTGCACATGCTTTGGAGAAGAAGATAGTTGTGTTCAATACACACTCCACCCCACCAGGTACAAAAATATTCTCAAGGGACTAAAGAAGAAAGCAAGAAGGAGCCAGCACCCTAAAGGGTGTTTAACTTCAGTCTAATATTTCTTTTCGCAATCAATTAGCTAATCCGTTCTTTCTAAAGCATGACAGCTCAGGCTTTTGCTATCATTACTTGTTAAATCAAGATAAGCACATCTTTTCTAGAGCACTGGAGAAAGCGATTCAATAATGGGCCCCAGACAGGCACTCGTGCTGGAGAGAGCTCCAGGGTGAGATTAGAATAATCTTCATGTATCCTCTTAGTTTTCAATCCTATTAAAAAATGAGACTGGGACCAAGAGATTTTTTAGTCTCAGAGATTAACATGCTACAAAGAAGCTCTAAAATATTATGCACACATGAATATTTTTTTTGCACTATTAAGGAAGCTAATACAAGTTTCTAGAGAGAAATTAAAAAAAAAAAAAGGAAAGAAAGAAAGAAGGGCCTGTGAATATCAGAGATCCTCTCTGAACCTGAAAAGCAGCCAAGTCAGAAGCCACAATAAAACATTTCCCTCAAATTTCTAATAAAAGCTTGAATATGAGGCCTGGGAAAAGAGCATCTGGGGTTAAGTAAGTAAGGAAATGTCCAAGTTCTTCACATGCATGGTATTCAGTCACTCCTTGTTTTGTTGTCTGGAAGAGTAGTGTCTTTGGAAGGGGACAGTGAGGCATTGTAAAGACATGCAAAGTCAAAACATCACCAGTCTGTTTGCTCATATAATCACCTGCAAAGTTGAACAAGGGATTTATAATAATAAGCAGCCATACAGGAATACTAAGTGGAGAAAGGAGAGATATTAAAATAATCAGAGTAACAGTAAAGAGACACATGATAGATCTCTCTGGAAAAACAGAAAATTAAGAGACCTTTCCACAGTGACAATCTATTTTTACAAGGGAAAGAAAACCTCAACTATATTACTTTTCTGATAAAAAAGACTATGAAGCACCATAGGAAGCCTCTTTGGGTTATCTTGCCAAGTAGGTTCAGCATTTTAAGTATCAGCTCAACAGCAAAAACTGTGCCCACTCTTAGGCTTCCCTGTAGGAGCAGCCTCAATGCAAGACTCTGGAGCAGCAGCCTGGAGCCGGGCACAGCTCTGCGTTTGGGAGCTCCTCTGGGACTGTACTGGGAGTTCACGTCACAGGGGTAGGGTTAGATACCAAGGCCAAGCTGCTCCACTCCCTTGGGCCTGAGGTGGTGATAGGGATACATCCATCTTACTATTCTGTGCCCTTTCAGAAACTTCATTTTCTTTTTCCTGCTGTTTTTTTTCTTTAAAATGTATTTTCAGACAGTTTCTCATGCATCCTCTATGAGCTGAAATTTGAAAGGACCAGGATTGTTTAATTTCTCCTGGCTCAAAAACAGTAAGGTCAAGCAATGAGACCCGTTTCTTCTCAGCTATTGACTTCAGATGAGTTTGGATGACAACATACTTCTTTACCTTCAGTAATGAGTTCCCAGAGCAACAGCTGACTGGTTAACCAGGATATTTCCCCAACTTAGATGAACAACACTGAGTAGCAAGAACATGGCATTGCCACCCCCACATGGCCCTGACAAGACTTTGAGCACTGCTAACTCCTCTGCCCCCACAAAATAAAAGTGGACAAGGCTTCAGGTACAAGAATTGTTGGGGATCGGGAGAAATGTAACTTCCATGCAGGAGAAGGCCACCAGCAAAACTCAGTATAAATGACATGGCCAACTGAAAACCAAAAGGTGACCTGCTCAAGTCCTTTGGTATTTACACAGAGAAAGATTCCCACTGCCTACTGGCTGATTCATCTAGCACAATCCTCCACAACAAAAAAGACAGGAAATTTCTAGCAGGGAAGTATTTGACCAAGTGTCTCAAAGTTAAAGAAAGCTTGGCATTCCCCTCCTGCCTCT